TATGAGAATTCAGTCCATGCGTCTGCATTTTTATAAAAATCATCTCTGCAATCATTCTTTTATAAAATAGATGTTCCTTATGCAAAACTTTGACATTATCCCATTTAAATTCGTGGCCGTAATTAACACGGTGCTCTTGTACGACAGAGAGATGCGAAGTAAGGTCTCGAGGTAGTCGTTTATGTTCAGATACACGAGTGGAGAGTCTTCTGCTCGTCTGACCAACATAAGGCGAGTCACAGTCTCCACACTCTAACTTATATACAACGTTATTCAGAAGATTCAGAGGCAAAGCGTCTTTATGAACACGAACCAGACCAGAAAGCTTGTTCATAATACTAAAACATGAAACCTTTTAAATTCTTTAAAAATCTTACTGATTCTATCTGAAATCATTCCCAAATATGGAAAAATATTATAAGAACGAGTGGGTAACAAGGAAGACGAAGATGTACTTGGTGGAATAATATTCATTTTTTCAATTAGTCGAAACACACGTCTCCTACAGATTCTAAGAATAAATTCGATGGGATAACCATTCATAACCAATGTGTGGAAAACAAACTCAAAATTTTTTACATGGAACATTGGATGGCTCAAAAAAATTACTCTATCCACTAACCCTATGATTGTACCAATTTTATGCTGTATAGGATGAAAGGAGTTGTAATTAAGAAGGCGGCCAGAGTAAGTTAAAAAAGATTCTACCAAAAAAATAATAGCCGAATTAAAAAACATTTTAAAAAGATGGAAGAATGAGTCCTACATCGATAATTCGGTTTATAAGTTTCTCCAATCGAGCGTGCCACTCTTCCACGTGCTTATGGTTCTCCGAAGATTCACAAGGCGGACAACCCTTTAAGGATAATTGTCTCATCTATAAATAGTCCTCTATATAATTTGGCCTTATTTTTGCACAGGTTGATTTCTATCAGTATCCCTGTACCTAAGAGCAGGATCAAGAATAGTTTTGATCTGGTTAATTCTTTAGCTAATTTGTATGTGGAGGAACACTGTAGATTGTTTTCGTTGGATGTGGTCTCATTGTTCACTAACGTTCCCCTTGAGTTGGTTATGGATGGTGTCTTGAAAAGATGGAGTTTTCTGGAAGCGGCTTGTAGGATTCCTAGGGATGAGTTTATATTAGCGCTCAGATTCGTCCTTAACTCCTCTTATTTTAGCTTTAATGGCTGTATTTACAAGCAGACCTTTGGCACCCCGATGGGCTCTCCTCTCTCTCCAATCATAGTTGATATTGTTCTCCAAGACCTTGAGGAAAGAGCACTCCAGATGATACAGATCTGTTTACCTTTTTATTATCGTTATGTGGACGACATCGTTATGGCTGCTCGAAACTTCTATAGAGAATATCTTAAATGTTTTTAACTCTTTCCATTCACGCCTTTAATTTACGATTGATTTTGGCGATAGAGGCAAAGTTTGTTTTTTGGAAACATCTATGGGAATTGTAGATTGTAGGCTTAGGTTTGATTGGTACCACAAACCTACTTACTCTGGCCGCCTTCTTAATTACAACTCCTTTCATCCTATACAGCATAAAATTGGTACAATCATAGGGTTAGTGGATAGAGTAATTTTTTTGAGCCATCCAATGTTCCATGTAAAAAATTTTGAGTTTGTTTTCCACACATTGGTTATGAATGGTTATCCCATCGAATTTATTCTTAGAATCTGTAGGAGACGTGTGTTTCGACTAATTGAAAAAATGAATATTATTCCACCAAGTACATCTTCGTCTTCCTTGTTACCCACTTGCTCTTATAATATTTTTCCATATTTGGGAATGATTTCAGATAGAATCAGTAAGATTTTTAAAGAATTTAATAAGGTTTCATGTTTTAGTATTATGAACAAGTTTTCTGGTCTGGTTCGTGTCCATAAAGACGCTTTGCCTCTGAATCTTCTGAATAACGTTGTATATAAGTTAGAGTGCAGAGACTGTGACTCGCCTTATATTGGTCAGACGAGCAGAAGGCTCTCCACTCGTGTATCTGAACATAAACGACTACCTCGAGACCTTACTTCGCATCTCTCTGTCGTACAAGAGCACCGTGTTAATTACGGCCACGAATTTAAATGGGATAATGTCAAAGTTTTGCATAAGGAACATCTATTTTATAAAAGAATGATTGCAGAGATGATTTTTATAAAAATGCAGACGCATGGACTGAATTCTCATACTGACACTGAGAATTTGGGAAAATGTTACAACATGTTACTCAGTTTGACTTAGATCGTATTTCGTTTGCGGTTACGAAGTAAATATAAACACTGGATTCTGTATTGTTTGCGGCATTCGGAGGTACACGTTCATAGGCGTAACATCTCACCGGAACTCTCTGGCCTTTATCGAGGTAGATATCAGTATTTTGTTTTTCCCTCACATTAGGGTTGGTTGCTCTATCTGAATACGTTTTTTAGATGATCATACCACAGCATCTTAGTACGTGCAATGGAGTGACCAGTCTCGGAATAAATTGCCAGTAGCTTCCGAAAATGAAACATTTCATTGTGTAAATGATATATTATGTTTGTGCTTCCGAATCCCGTAGACAAAAAAATTTGTAGTGACAATTCTGTAACAATCAATGTTAACGCTAACTTTTGCGATTTTTTATTTTTTGCGACACTATAACATTACTTGTAATCACTGAAGAGGGTCTGTGAAATGAGACCGAAACGCGTATGATATTTAATAAAATTTGTTCTCATGGCGAGATTGTGTCACTATGTTTTAATAGTTTATAATAGCACTATACAACCTGTGCGTGAACTCTAATTGTCCTTAGGTTAATGTTGATATACATCTGATTTTTCTATTCAGATTTTCTATTCAGATTGATGTCTATTTGATATATGTTTCTGCTGTGTATCAAATGCTAAGTATGAAAATATGTTGATGAATGAATTGTCTCAAAAGATAAAATATTTTTGGTGCAAGGTCAAACTATTGCCCAAAAGATGGCAAAATTGATAGCCAATATTTTGATTAAAATATTGTTATCTCATTCTTATTAATAAATAAAAATAACTTTAATATCATATGAACTTTTGCAAACATCTAAAATACATCTCTTACGGAAAAAAACTATTGAGCGCGCAATACTTAGTATTGGTTAACACTAAATTGGCCAATACTTTTTGGGCAATACTTAGTAATGATGAATACTAATTCATGAATACTGAAAAATAGTATTGAGTGCGCAATATTTAGTATTGGTTAATATTAAATTGGCCAATACTTTTTTAGGGAATACTTAGTATTGATGAGTACTAAAAGTATATACGTAGAAAATTGTTAAAATATACTATCCCTCACAGCACATTAATATTGATTTTAAATAAAATGTAGCTCTTTTATTTGATTTCTCACTATTTTCATATCCGAAAATTTATTCAGTACTAGTCGGACGTGAACTCGAGACCTCAGATACCTCCAGGTTCTTAGTCTATCATCATGACTGCTGCGCTATTTCTTCAACTGATACTAAGCATTTTTTATTATCCCTATATGGAGCCGAAGCAGTAATTATAATTTTTTTATAACATTATTTAGTATAACCACAAAAATAAACTATTTAGTCCAAATATTTCAAATAATGAAAAAGAAATCAGAAATATATACATAAAATATTTATATAACATATGTTTGCCTAATTTGTATAACATATGTTTACCTAAGTGTTGACATTACAAAACATTACAATTTAAAAAAATATAAAAAAAATGTTTTAAATGTTAAAAGTAATAAAATAAATTCTCTTTTTTAAATTAAAAGAACGTTTTTAACGTTTTTTAACGTTTGAAAAAATGTTTTGTTTTCTAATATTTAATAAACGTTTATTTTAACATTTAGAAAATATTTTTAAAATGTTGACACTTAGAAAAATAGTTTTTAAATATTAAAATAAATGTTTATTAAATATTAAAAAAACAAAACATTCTTCCAAACGTTAAAAAACGTTCTTTTAATGAAAAAAGAGAACTTATTCCATTATTTTTAATGTTTCCAAAATGTTTTTTAAATGTTATTAAATGTTTTATAAATATTGTTTGATATAATGAATATTTAAGTATTGACCAATACTAACTAGCAATACTCAGTCTTTATCAATACTTAACTGCATCAATATTTAAGTATTGACCAATACTAACTCTTAATACTCAGTATTTATCAATATTTAACTCACTCAATACTTCAGTATTGACCAATACTAACTCTCAATACTCAATATTCATCAATACTTAACCCACTCAATACTTCAGTATTGACCAATACTAACTCTCAATACTCAGTATTCACCAATACTTAACTCATTCAATACTTCAGTATTGACCAATACTAACTCTGAATACTCAGTATTACAACTTGAATACTAAGTATTACAACTTCAATATTTAATATTGAGTCTCAATAGTTTTTTTCTGTGAGGAATATATTAGATTGTATATATTTATTCAAGAGCGTAAGAATCACATTTATAAGTAATGATATTAATTTTTCTTTATAGTTTAATGAAATGTTTTATTCTTTTAGTTTATATTCTAGGTATTTATATTATACACAATAAATCATTTATTCGAATAAATATTTGCGTATGTATTCTTTTCATATTGTGTATATTTTCATATTGTGTATTTTCAAGTTTCATATTCAGTTATGAGATGTGTTTATTGTATTTTAACTGATAATTATATACACAGCCAATAATATGGCAATAAATTTTATTTTAGTACCAATAAGTGTACATCTATTTTAACAATAATTCTTTAGTAAATTTGATGAATTAAACAATTTTATTCTTTATACTCATTTTAATTAAAAAATTGTCTCCTCTTTATTTTTGTAATTTAAAATAACTTGAATATTACCTTGTTATTTACAGCAAGTGTCAAGGAATTAAATAAAATATTTGTTACTATTATCAGTTACTTCAACAAGGTAATTGTAGAAAATAAAAATTTTTTGAAATAAATGTTTGGATACTATAACTAAAAATGCAAGAGAAGTATTTTTATTTTAAATTTTAAATTACGTTATAAAGATTAAAATAACAAAAGTCTTCAGTTTAAATAGCCCAGATAATGTTAAAATGTCTCATAAATACTTAAAAGATATCTAAAACAAGTAGAATGTCTTTTAAATATTTCTAAGACGTGTTTTGGATATTTAGGCAATCTGGATCATGTTCAGGCATTAGTATTTTTATATCTATATAATTAAAATTACCATTTTCTACTGCCAATCTCAGAACACACAAGCCCGTGTTTCCAGTAGCGCCGAATATCACGATACGCTTCATCTTGTTACTTATCGATCACTATGTGCGCTACGTGTAAGCATGTTGTTATATCATCATCACATAAGAAGAGATAATGCCGAGTCATTTTTTAAAGTACTATCCAGAACGACAACACATTGTCGACCAATATGTTAACTGCGCTAATAGGTTATGTAGCGCAATCAGATGCATATGTCGGCTCTCTCTCTCCCTCTCTCTCTCTCTCTCTCTCTTTAATTGCAGGCTTAAACTTAGTGACTCTTTCACCACACTTGGTATGGGAGTTGAATAAGTGTGAGGGTGCAAATGGACGTAGTATACGTGGACCTCGTATACGGCCTAAAAAGTGAAGCCAATGGGTGCGTTTGGAGAACACGCTACTAACGCTACCGCGTTCTTCTATCTTTATTGCTCCTTAGATATACAACAAGGATAGAATAACACGGTAGCGCTGAGTAGCGCTATCCTTGTTGTATATCTAATAGCGTGTTTAACTGACTCTGGGTTAATCGCTCCGAGAGCGATTAATGACGTCATAAGTCTCTACTAGCCAATTATAAAGCTTATAAGTATTTGTTCAACCAATAAACGTAGGTTGAATAACTTAGAGTGGGTTAACCCAGAGCCAGTCGAACATGCTATAAGTGTTATTCTATCCTTGTTGTACATCTAAGGAGCGATAAAGATAGAAGAACGCGGTAGCGTTAGTGGCTTAGTTTAGGGTACGTTCAGATTCCCTACCCGGGTGCACTCTAATACTAGAAGTGCTATAGTATATGTAACATATACTATAGTGTTTCTAGTAATAGAGTGCACCCGGGTAGGGAATCTGAACGCACCCTTACATCGTACACTTAATACGCGTATTGTATAGTAACTTTCTATTAAATAATCTTAATATTGACAATGCATATCAACGATGACGCATACAACCGATACAATAAGTCTTCTTGATCAGTATTATACCAGCTTAATATACTGTTATTTATATACATCGTCGATATTAAGATTATCTAATAGAAAGTTACTATTTAATACGCGTATCAAGTGCACGATGTAAACCAAGCTAATGGCCAACTGAATAGCGCTAATAGCGAACTCCCCGAACGCACCTACGGCTGCGTTCAGATTCCCTACCCGGGTGCACTCTAATACTAGAAGTGCTATAGTATATGTAACATATACTATAGTGTTT